ACAGTTACCCTAAGGCAATAATCTCGTACCCTATTGAAATATCCCGATTGTTTCCTATTTCTTCTGCCTCAATTGTTATTATTTATCTTTCATTTCTGCTGCCCCATTCTCCCATTAGCGTTAATTCATTACGATCAGCCTGTCTTAATATTTGATTCGTATTACACGTCAATTAGAAATTAACTATTGCAGACCGACACCTCTACACGCGTTCAGTTGTAGTTCTGGTACTCCATTGTGGTAATTCCATTATCTCGTGCAACCATCCGGTTACAGTAATTGTATTTCTATGACTTATTCAGTGTCTCATTTTGTACCACTGACCCCGCTGTTTTGGTGCTAATGAATGTAAAAGTAGCCTCGTCTGCTCCACTTCGAAACTGCCAATATAAATTAAAATAAAAATTAATCAACGTAATATTAACAACCAGCTGTACACGCAGCGCCATTCAGAGATCATTCGAGTAGATCGCAAGAAACGCCAACTTGTTTTAACTAACATTATGCTCTGTGAAAAAATAGAGGTAACGCTCATGCACCATTTCGATCCATCTAGGTAGACTTCCATTAGCGCATCTTCGCTCAAAAGTTCTCAAAAGTTCCAGCCAGGTAAATTCTCTGATTTATTAGGCATTCAACTTGTCATCCGGAAATGTACTGTTAATTCCCGTCGCCTTCATTTATTGATGTTTTTTCCCTAAGCAATTTATTCTGTTCATACTCCCATCTTAGTGTATTGGAAAATTCTTGTGCACATGATAGCACAATCTAGCTCAAGGATGTAACTTCAACGGTAACTTTCGGTTCCTTCATGTTGTCGACACATTGGATCTTCTATCGCTGAGGACTCGCCGTCATTCGGTCGAAAAAGGAAACGACATGGACTGAGTAGCCGATGTGCATTTTCCTGAGCGCCTGCGTCATGGTAGCCGTGAGCAGTAAGCACGCTGGTCATCGTTGGTCTGAATTTCAACGTCGACAGTTGGTGAGAAAGGATTTTTTCACAAAAGAAAAAGAAGTGAAAATAAGTTATGGATACAGGAGCTGTTGATATGCTTACCCTGCCGTCTCATAATTCTTTTGTAGAAACCCCTCGACTCTGCCTGGCAGCTTTGAAAGCATTACCTAAAGGTAATTCTAAAGATTTATGCGTATAAGAGGATAGCTGGTAAGCTCCAAACACAGCAACTGGGGTCAGATAGTGGTAAATTACCTTCGTATCAGTTTGTTGAGGACTACACACCAACTCATCAAGATCAAAAGGTTGTTCACTTCCAACAACTTCACTAGGCATGTTTCTCTAAAGTTCTTCCGTTTCAAAATAATGTTGGTTGAGCTTTCTTTCTTGAACCCGCATTCCTTCTCCGGCAAATGTTCTGGCTCTGTCGTCAACCCATTAATGACCTCGGTAATTCTAAAAACATTGGCACGGGCGACGCAGCGCCTCCGATTTTCTTCTTAAATATCAGGTAGCTAAAACTGTTACCTTCTCGTTTCACCCTTTCTAGTTTTCCTTTTGCTCCTTTTGATAAGGATTGAGAGCATTTTTTTGGCAACTGTTTGCGTTTCTTGAGCGTCGGCCTCATTGAAGTTCTGTTTCTGCCTCGCAACGTTATTTCGTATCTGTCTCGCGCTCTGCAAAGGATTTGCTCTGCTCAGTTGAAGTTCAGTTGCGGCACCGTTACCTCCTAGTCCATCAATATTTCGGCTTTCAAGCGTATATATAGTGCACTGGCATCATTTCAGCAAGGTAATGGGACCACCGAAGCAGTCCCGTACAGTAAACAAGCTTCAGGGGAACAAGACAATTGAAATATGATAACTGTAGCTGAACAGCTTAAAAGGTGTAGTGGCAAGTTTGCACTATACGGGTAAGGTGCAATTTTTTAGAACTACTATGAGCTGTGGGTGTTAAGTAACAAGATAAATGCAATATATCATAGCAATTTTATTAGGAATCTGCAGGACCATTCATACATTGAACTACGAAGGACGCAGTTGCACGGGAGACGCATGAATACTGCCTGGACGCAGCACAGCTGGTAACGATGAGCCAGTGTTATAGTTAGAACAATAAACAGCTGCTAGTTCAGACGTGGTTACGATATAAAATCCCTAGCCGCTCTACTATATATTGTCAGTCCATTTTAAATACTCATGTCTATAAGAGCCGATCAAAGGTACATAATAATAACTACTTAACTGCGTTATGGTGTACGGCGTCATGTATTAGGTTGTTCAGCTTTAAATTCGAGATGGTGGACTTTAACTATTTCTTGAACCTTCGCAAGCATACTTTTTTATTTTGAATCAAAGTAAGCACTCTCATTATTTATTTAGACAAAAGCTTGTTTTTCCCGCTAGTGTAGAAGTGCATGTAAGGTGTACAAGAACTTACAAGTAGTTTTGTTGCATTCACCTACTAACGTGACCAGTGCAACAATTAGTTATTTTTATAAAGGGAGAGCAAAAAGAAGCAAACGTCTCAATGTCTTTATTCTTGACCTTTGTTTAAATCAAAGAGCACCCATTCGTCCAGTTTTTTTTACCATATTAATTTGACCGAGTCTGGTAAATAGAATCGTTTTGTGCATACCAAACTCCAATTATACTATTCGTAAATCTTGAGATAAATCGGTTTCCAACAGATACTATTCTCCGAGCTTTATGTTTCTCATCTTTGCATAAAACTTCCACGAGGCTCATTCTCGAGTTCAAGATTTCTTTTGCGATATTTTTAGAACTGATGGTCTTGTTAGTAGTAGAGCTTTCATTAGGACCTATATGGCGAGCTATGTCTACCACTGTAGTTGTAAGACGTACGATCCATGTCCGTATACCACTAAAACTTTTTCTTGGTTTTTCAAATCCCACTGCAGCTCGCGCATTCAAAGCCTGAATAATCGTATCCGATAAAGGATCTCAGATTGCAAAATGTGCACGTACAGCTTGGAAGCAAAGATAAGAAACCACTGCGTGCACTATTACCAAAATTTTGAAATATAGGGTATCATTTTGAAGTACGAGGTAATTTTAAAATATGAGGTTAGTTTTTCTCGTATTTCATGTCGATCAATCTACTGTGCTCTAAACGAACATATCTTCGATTAGAACTTATCCTAACTGTCACTTGCAAACACCCTTGTACGAGTTGACCAGACGGACGTTGGCATATCAAATATTCTAATTATAATGCTCTAAATTAGCAATTAATAAAATGCGACTGAAGTGGCTGCTGCCAAAGACAGTGCAATAATTAGTAATAGGCCGACAGTCTGAGAAACAGGTAGAGCTTTATGCAGCGCCAAAGGCACCTCAGTTGTTCTCGATGAAATTTTTGTTCTATTAGAAAACTAAACTAAAAACAAATGTTATTACTCGGTGCGAAATCCGCCAGGCACCAAAATGCCGTGTTTGGAAGAATGTGAAAGTATAAAATTTGTTTATATTATAATGTCGAGCTGAAACGGTGATACAACAAATACGGTGCAAATACGAATGGAGCTGATTATGCTAATATAAGGTTGGAGTTATTTAATAGAAAAACAAAACAAAAAAAAAGGCAATGCAATTTATATGAGCAGAATAACAGAAGGTAAATGAATCTAGGCATACCATCAGCCAAATAAATTATTTACTAACGGTGTAGCGAGCGCAATACAGGGAGGCTACAGGTTAGTCACGTATATTGCTGCGTAAGTCCTTATTAGAATCTTTGTAGGCTTTAGTTCACCTAAGACGGTTCCTGAGTGCCTGACTAGAGTGGTGTTGGCTTTGATTATTAGGATACATAAGGTTAAATACTTTTTTTAATAAATGCAGCGTGCAAGGTGTTTCTCACCGCGGAAGTACACTGATAACTGTAACGTTGTTTTGCCATGCACTACACAATCAGCTTAATTCAATTTTCTACTATGTGCAACAGGCCACATGATCTCCGAACCCTCCAGTGTTTCCAGAACTATCGGCCTGAAGAAATATAATTATTTCTATTATTATTATAATAGTTAATAAAATAGTAAAAAATATTACCGACTTTTTGTTTGTTCCTTTAGTTAGTCGATGCGAAATCAATTATTCATAATTAATTAGTTATAGATTTCTGTAAACGCGAAGCGTCATGTATGTACTCTATGACAGACTAGATTCGGACTGGATTACGGCCTACATATGTATATATATTATATCTATGCGATAACAGAAAAAAAAATCCGTGTTATTAAATCAAGGCGCTGAAGCTATAACATATGCAACATTTCGTCGGTGAGAACAGTGAAAAATCTCGGCGGGTTATTCGAATAATATAAATGTACACCTTATTTTACGTCTTAGTTTTCTAAAGCTTACCTTTTATTAATTTAGCTAGACCTATATATAATTAGCTAACGCGCAATTCGGTACTTTCAGAGCAACGAAATAAATGCTACGATACTTGGTTAGCACATAATAATAGATAGAGCACATTTAAAAATAGGAATAATGAATAATTACGTATAAGAAGTATAATTGCAACGTCATGACGGGATAATTGCAACGAAAATTTGCAAGCGGATAGTATGGTATCTGCTTCTCCTAAAATATTTACTGGTAACTTGCAGAGATTTGAGATTGCAGTCATGTTACTCTATAGACACGTCCTAAATAAAGAGTTCATCTTGGTAAGTGTATTAGATAATTAACGGTGAATAAAGTTCCTACATAAAATACATTAACCTAAAAAACTTCGAAAACAACTCTAAAAGTACGATTTTTTTGTGGTTTAGCTTGACCCGAGGAAAAACTTATGATAAAATTACGAAATAGCTACTCTGAGTGATTAAATATGCGGCCTTGTGTTGCGTCCAAAAAACATGCGTATAGTATGTCTTATACAACTCATGTATATGTTAATATAAGTGTCATTTGCCTAGGTATGTCATTAAGATTACTCAACCCTTGAATGGCATACCAAGTGGCTAGAGACACTCGTTGTCGGTACCTAGATTATAAAGCGGACCCACCTTCTGTGCTGTTGTTTCGGTCCTATTTGTATCATTCACTTTTTTCATAATACGTGTCCCCACTGTTTGACGGCGAACCCTTTTTTGGTAATGTCCAATCTTCAATTGCTCATTTCCGTCCTTGCGGTTTTTGTCGGATAACGATTTAGTGTAGTCGGCATGTGTTTTCTTATTGAAGAACTTCTTTGCCACCAGCGATTTGTGCTGTCCTTCGACCTGAATTTGATAGAATGTTATATGATCCACGATGTGACAGGTAAACGTACCTCGTTACGTTCTGCTAGCTTTTTTGCGAATTTAAAATGTATTAACCATTCTCTTAGAAGAGTTCTAATAACTCTTCTAAAAAAGAGTTTTGATTAGCACGAGTTTTGTTTTGTTTGATAAGCCTCAAACGTCATTGATTCCCATAAGACGGGTTGCATCTGCTGGCAGCTTTTGAAATCTAATGCATATCGTTATATGCAGATATAGACCATAGTGAAGCTAGAGAAATATTCTAGTATCAGCAACATAAGTAATGGCGGTTTTTTTAAATACTCCCTTTACCCTAGTGTATCCATAGCCTATTTTTCCTGAACGTCATCTTCGTCAAGCGTAGTAGTGAATTTTATTCACCAATTTTATAGTCACTCTGCATCCGCGTATTGGAAATTCGTTGAAAATCTGTCGGAATAATTATTTTGTCTGTTTTCGTACTTAAAACGTTCAAGTACAAAAAATATTTCTTAGTTCAATTTGTGATTTCTTGGTCTAACTCTAAATGGTTGCTTTGTGTGGATTAAATGAAATATACCTGATTCACAACAGTTGAGAAGATAATAGCGTACATCAAAAACCCAGCTTATGTTCAATGGAAGCTGTGTCTATAATTATCCGGCAGAAAATCGCCGTCAACATCGTCTTTAACGATTGCGTATGAAAGGTGATAATTAGTTATAAGGCTCGTGCAACAAAAAGTGTACACACACTCTGCGATCACTTAGCGAAGACGCAAGTTTTAGACTTGCCGTGAATTAAATTCATCAAACGCGGGGGACTTAAATGATTTCATGTTCACATCAATTTTTGTTACCTGCTGCCTCGCTAGAAAATATAAATAGAAATAAGAAAATAAAAATATACATGAATGTATTAATATTGGAACCTAAAGGACCCATTAAATTTTCAGACATTTTTAGCCATGTTATAGACAGAACCGTTACCGAAAAATGGCGACGCTCCAATGGTAAATTCCACGCCATACTAGAAATAAACAATTTTAGCTTTCTATTCACTAACCTATTAAGAATCGCTTATGTTAGTAACAAGGTTTAGTCGTTTACAGTTCTCTACAAGTTCAAAATTTTAGCAAAGTTGACAAGCGTAATATCGAGTGATACTGAGGAGCGTTATCCTTGTTTCGAAAATTGTACTTTATATTTATATCATATAATATATAGCCATATAGCCTAAACTACCGCTCTAGGTTTGAAAAGGCGGGTTTTCGACTCCTCAGTCAAGCCCTTGTGAGATCCGAAGACAACTGGAGCCAAAATTATGAATTAGTAATACTTCGTCATTCCGTTTTACTTACAACGTATTTACATGTCAGCACGCATGGACGAATATCTCTAACGTCATCTAAAGTATATAGCTTAGAGGCGAAAAAATCGTAAGGCAACTTCCTTGAACATTTTTAGTACTCACTTTTACAAATAAACTCACGGTGGCTTCATTTTGGACTTATTTTTTGTAGACTATTAAATATTCATGCTTGCAGAGTCGTTCAATATTGTTGTTACGATACACAGATTGTTCCGACAATCGCAGTTAGTATCTGTTGAATAATCATTACTCAACAAAAGTAGCTCACATTTCGAAGACTTTCTAAAAAAAAAAGCATAACGTCTTCTCACTTAGTTTTCCCGGAATATTAATAGCAAGCAGGCTGGGTTTACCAGTGTTAGCTAAAACTGTCGTAACTTCACATCGATCGGTTTTTGGCAACAGGTTACATAATTTTGACAAATATCAATGCGACTTAAGATAGGCAATAGATATTTACTCACAGGAACGGAATTTGCATCAACAGCGTTAGTGCCAGTTGCGTCATCAAAGTGGTGAGCTATCCTGTCAAGTGCGCTTTCCATGAGTCCTTCGTTAGATATTTGACGGGCGAGCGTATTCACTTCATCGTCCTTGGTCGCCCCAGGACAATCAAACATATGCTCCGAATCGCACATGCATTCCTGCTGCGCTTGGTACGATCGACTAAACGCTGCCGTATTCTCGAATTGTTCGAGGCACCCGTCGTCATCTGTTGAGAATAAGGAATAAAACTGTTGGACCAAATTAATTATCAGGCACAACGCATGTGCATAGACATAATGAAATTGCCAAAGGTACTTTTGCACGCGAAAGGCTTACGCTTCATCTGAGCTTGACGATAACTGATCTGAAGAGAGATACATGACGTGGTATTGTATCAGTTGATTAACTAGGATATTTGCTTTTTTATACTGGCTTCTAAATCAAATGCGTGCGATAACGAATACAAAACTGACGGACGTAATCAGTAGCATCATATTAAATGACAGAGTAAACAAACACCAAACCATTATTTACAAACGTTCCGCCTCAGAGAAACAATCTGAGTCCACTGGTATTTTCGTCACTAGTCGTTGACCTCCCATAACCAATAGTATACCAGCATCCGTCAGTAAAAGTCATTATTATGTACACGGCCGACCTTCTCTGCATTGTAGCAGCCGATTTTATCTGCAGAAAGCGCTATCGACTTTGACCTTTTACGTCACAAACAATAGTTTGGGAATTCCACTACGAAATAGTAAAGAGCTGGAGCTTAAGCGAGGCGCTCGGTAGCGGGGTATAATGCCATTTGCCTAAGTAACCAAATTTTAAGATAATCTCATATATTTGAGAACTGTACCAAACTAAATCGTGTGAGTTTGTCCTAAGCACGAGAAAAGAGCACGTAATGGCTCGTATTCGCTGCATCGATTAAAAAACCAGAAAGTCTCTGGTTTACGTCACTGAAGCTGTCCCAGACGAAGGCGACACCAACGGCATCGTAGGTCAGACAGTTATATTGAGAAAAACGACCTTTCTTACACCTGCGCATCTCGTATTAATGAATGAAATCAAACATGCCCTCCCGAAAAGAGTTCTAAGTCTTTACTCCTTTACGAAAGCCCGGTTGGTCGACTTACTTGCAGATAGCTGCTCTTCGTTTAAAGACTTCGGACAAGGCACCCACTGCTCGAGATATCAGGATACTAACAGTCCGTTAGATCTCATGAAGAGAAACTGGCCGATGCCACTTTCGAGATTTTCAATATAAAAGTAATAAAGAGTCACAAGTAGTGGAATATCGACTTAGAGAGAACGGGCACGTACGACTAGACACATAGTTTCTCTTCTTTGATTTGCACAACTGACGATCGCCACGAACTATTTCCTCTTACAAATATTACAAATTACCATGCCTCCTATACTTATATAGATAAATAATAACATGACATGCAGGATTAACAATGGTCAACATTCAATGCGCTCTGCAGGCGGTTGTGTTATAGAAAGAATCATTTCAACATGCATATACTTAATTGGTATTTACCCTACTTGGGATGAAATGAATTAGAATAAGATTGATTGATCTGTCTGATAACTCATTAAATGTTTTTACCTGGTTAGTTTTCGATTATTTCGTCTCTCATCTTATTAATGAACGACGCAGGATAGACTAACTAGTTCAATCACGTAAAATTGATCAATGGTGTGCTCAGTTACTCACATGTTGTACTGTACCTACCAGTATAGCCGACAGGGCATGGATTTGGCGGATTACAGTAGGCAGGCAAAACAGCGTCACTCTTCACTACTTGGACGTTGCGACCGCTCCCGTCGGGCTTTAGACGTTGGGCTCCCTCGCCGGCACCTCCTGCCACGTACTGATGGCCCCAAAGTGAACTGTGTTCTAAGTATTCTTGATCTCTGCGATGACATTGGAATGATTCAGTAAAACAAGTATTAATTTCAATCAAATACCAAATCCGTAATTTACACTTCACATAATTCATATATTAAGTCAGCAGTGCACTCACGCACTGTACAACCTCCGGCTTCTCTATCAAGTATTGTTTCCGACTTATCATTCTTAAAAACCGTAAGCCTACTCTTCTGACCAAGTTAATCTGAACGTTTTTAAATCTTTCTTTTTTGCTTTATTTTCCTATTGTTTATTCATTTCTAGATTATATCCAAAAATATTCTATCCGGCGTAAGCCTTCAAAAAGAATTATATCTCTAATTTCAGCTTCAAATATAGATGCTCCAGATGCAAAAAAAAGTGATGGATAGGTTGCGGACACTCGATTATTACCAAGATTCTCGAATCTATAGGATTTTATTAAAAATTATAAGCGCGGATGCCTCATAATATGACCGAAACGCAGCGGGAAACACAGTTTCTCATTGATCCTCAACGTCTGGTCTGGCGCCGACAACATGTAATCATAATGATAGAGATTACCCAGAATCGCTATGAATGGCTAGAAATGGTGCCCTTATATATCAATATGAACCACAAGAGGAACGGGCAGCCTTGAGGCCAAAGTTAAATCGAATCTTTATTTAAAAAAATACTATGGTTTGCGTTTAGTGAAGCTAGAAAGGTCTTGTACACTAGGTTATGTGTGAAAACAACGAGGATTACATATAAGCCAGTTTCATCGACTGAAAGATAATACACAAGGCAAAGTCACATTTGTGCGCGACAATACTGGGTCTCGCGTCGCAGAAGTTGTTAAAGCAGCTCTGCAAGAAGTCGAGTAGGGTGTTCTTTTGCAGCATTTTTATTCTCGAGCCGACTTAATATCGCCTTTTGCGATCACTAGTGAATGGAATTCGTAGCTGTATATTTAACGAATAACAGTTATCAAAAATTGGCTGGGAGAGTTTTTTTTTAGTGTCAGACCTGAAAATTTCCAGCACGACGAAATATGAGTTTATTGAAAGAAAGGAGAAGGCCGTTGGTAATAGCAGCGAATATCCAGTTAACTGAATAATCTGAGGTGGACAGCGTAGTGGACAAAGAAATCTCTCGACTTAGTCATTAAATGTTTATAGATTTACGAATGTCAACGAATCCTTTGAGTCTAATTTTGTATGCTCCTGTTCCAACGTTACAGCATTAAGCAAAATAAAGTTATGCTGTAGGTGACTGATTTGAAACCTGTAACAAGACGTCGATAGATACACGTGTTTACAGAACGTTAAATGAATAATACCACTGCGACTATGGTTCGCTGGTCTTATCCAAAGCTTTCGGTTGTTACTGTCGTTTCATCGGTATAACCTGTTGGTGCTGTTGTAAATTTGTGTTAGCAGTCGGTTACATCGGTTGTACGTTAGCGAAACATAACATTAGGAATTACTACGCGTTGTTAGAGCGACTCGTTGCTATGTGCTTGGAGGTACGAATATAGAGCTGCTGGTAGTGGTAATGGCTTTTATCTGCAGCTGCGTTAGCTGCTCCTGTCTCGCTCGAATATTTATTATTTCCAATTCCTCATCACTACACCGTACCGTAGCTCTTCTGCCTTCTTTTCGTATCGCACCGCATCTTGCTATTGTGGCGCTGTCAGCGTTTATTATTACGCTGCCTCTCTATGTGACTGTATCTGCTTATGTGTATCGTTGAAAGCTTATGTCCATGTAGTGCGATGTAAGACCGCTCTACAACGTATGGCCGTATTCTATTGCTTTTCCTTGCTCACCACTTGAACCCTATCTTGTCGGGGGAGAACTGACGTATATCATAAGCAAAACATTGGTCTTCTATCAATATTATATCCAAATCCTCTTTCTGTGCATTTTTCTTGCCGATTTTACTTCTTCTATATCTGCTTAAATGTTGTTCTTTTCTTCTCCGGCTTGGAATGGTTGATTCATGTTAGCAGCCGTGCATAATGATACGGCCATCGGTTGGTATTCTAGTCTGTACCAGGCACTACCGCGATAAACCAAGTTGTCATAAAGGACAAGAGATCCTACACTGCATCATAATAGCACTGTTAAGAAGCCTCGACAATATGGCCACCGGGTCTTTGCTTTTTCTGCTGCGTCCAGCAGCAGCTGACAGATAGAACTAACAGTCGAAGCAGCAGAACACCCAAGCTAGGTATGGCAAAAATTTGGTTCCTAGTCAATCCTACTCAATGAGGCGCCATTTTCTTAGACAAATCCAATATTGTCTTTCTGTAACGTTATACTCTTTCTGCTCTCGTCAACTGGTTATTATTATGGCGCGAGCTGTGAGGCAACATCATGTGCTCCTGAACAAGCTAAATTCATTCTATATAAACGGCCACGAAGTCTCATCACATGATGTCCTATCCGATTTTATAATCTATCTTCTTTATTTATGTATATAAAATCATACATCATCGCAAAGGAAATAGAGAAACTGCCAATACAAATCTCTGATCTGTATCTTTTTGACGAGTTTTATTAGTGTGATCATTTCCCTTTTACAAGACTGCCGTTACTGTATAGAGACTACGAGACTTCGGTATCATTCTAAGATTCCATAAGTACTCTACTGGTACATCAGCGAAGTGGTCCTCTGTCAGACTTTTCCCACGAATGCCTCTTTATAATTTCACGATACATTAACTACTTTTAGCAAACTTACTCAGAAAGCCAATGTGAACGAATCTTAGTAATAAATTTGCAAGTACAATACCGCGTCAATTTCCATCTACCGTGCGAGGTTGCAACCGTTAATCCTAAAATTCAGTGTTTCCTGGTGGTTCTCTAGCTTTAGCCGCGCCTTGCTACGTAATGCTAGTAGGGCACTGATGTTTATCTGTGTCTTTATCATCTAAAACTACCAGGAATGCCTAAAAAAGTTGTGTTGAAACAAGGGAATTAAGCTTTTGCCAAACGACTTTTTCATATACTTAGAGAATAAATTCATCGTATTTTTCGAAGTATAAGTTATTCACCCTAGGAGTAACAAAAATTCATTTTCTAAAAATATTGTTCGATTAACAAGGGGATATTTCGGACTTACATATTCCAGTTCGGTTGCTTCGGGATAGTTGCTTGCTGCTCCAGTTTAATTTAATTAGTGCCATAAATGCTTGGATATGACTTCTGGTAGTTTGGTCGGTTTAAAAAATAGTTTGCTTTGATTATTTTGAAAATAGTTTTGTATGAGTAGATATGTTCAGTGGGAGAGTTACGTATTACTGTTACAACGTATAGGTTAGTAACTAAACATTCAAGTTTTACCTAGGATTTTATTTATCTACACATTATTGGAAGGGACAACCATGACACGTACGTTGATGTTTAAGGGTCTTTTTTTATTGTTTACGTGCAATTTTCTTTGTCTATTGTTCTACAAGAGATCATAGACGAACAAAAATAATTTTTAAACTATTATCAAGATTGGTCGTCAGTCTGTGGTACTAGTTTTCTAAAGCAAGCTTTTTTCGTCTAATATAAAATCATAGCCACAAAATGCCTACACACACCTTGTGTATCTCCAGATTCGTAAAAGCACGCTGTAAACGCCAGCTATATCTGGAAATTCTATGCGGGCTTAAGTGATGTTCAGTAGGGGTACTTTTACTTATAAGTACTAACTTTGTTCTGTCTCTATTAGGCCAATCCGCTGCTGAATTTCGCCAATAAATGATAAATGTATTAGACTCCTCTGCTTAAACATCACTAATTAGTAAGCAAAGTTTCATGCCAGAGGGAATCAGAACGACCTGTCAAAGAGCTAACTAAGTCTACGTGCGTGCCTTTGCGGTTTGCATCTGGGAATTTCTTATTCCAATTCGTCGTTTGCTAATGGCTTAATATCATATATTGCTGAGACGCTTTTGTCCGTTTTACAAGCATGTGGACTGATCTCTACGTCTCATACATTACATTTCAGAACCGTCGATATTATACCGATTAACAACTGATTATAAAAAAAAGCCACAAAACCGACTAACGCTGACTTTAGAAAGTCAGAATTTAAGGACTATTGAAAATTTGAATGTTCACTGAAAATGCGAATATAATGTGGATTTCGTATTTCAATATTTGATATATTGTTTGTTAATGTGTATTTTCTATAAGCTATGTTTTATAATGTTTTTCCGACAAATGTTTCTAAATTTACTGAGGTTAGCAAAAATTATATTCATTTTTTAGTTGTTAATTTCCGATTTATTATGCTATAGCAATTTCGATTCGTTACTTTATGTATCTGCGAGTTTCTTGTCTCAAATATGATTTTCATTTTAAAGAATCTTGAAATAATCGCACTTTGGATGTACATTCATTCAAAGGTTAAACTAGAGACAACTTTTTGTAATCCAAAATGATCACAAGATCGCATATAAGAAGCTTTCCATTATGCGTGAGCATTACTAATCTTCAAAGACGGATCAGTTAACACAAGTCGCAAACTTTCATGGTCTGATAGGAATAAAGTGAACCTCCGGTAATGTTTTCGTAAGTATCCGCAGCCTAAATTGGTATTTCTCGCCGTGATGGGTAAACAATTTCCGAAAATCTGCGTATCGAGGACTTTAGTAAAAAAAAAACATTACTTCCAGCTACCTACCGAGTTTGACAAAAACTGTAATTAAGACTACATGTACCTTGCAGAAGTTATAATCAGCATGAAAATTATCCATCGAATCCCGTTATTAATAAGCGTAACATGAAGTGAAATGCGGCCATATGGTTCTCAGCGACGATTCGTTCAAGCATCGCCGTCTTTTGTGAAAACTAGCTTATGACAAAAATAATTAGCAATAACACGGAAGTGATATCCATCTAGGAACTTTTACATTTCATTATAAATGTAAAAGGAGTCGCCTGAAAATCTGCCTTAGTTTGAACTTTAAAGCAAAAAATGTTTTTTTTTTTATTGTCCTTTTTCTCTTTCTTTTAAGTAGATCAACTCTGATACGATACATATGTTGTATACCCTATACACTTTAAAGTATCTCTGAAATCGAATTCCAGTTTCTTCGATTTTTTGTTTAATTTTATTTCTTAATGTATAAAACTTCCTTTCTTTTTTTGCTCTTCGCTTACATTTCCTTCTTATTTTTTAAAACAAAATGCTATGCTGAAATAGACAGTTTTGTGCAAAAAGTCATCCATATCTCGTAGAAAAAAAATAGAATCGAAAAAAGAGTAAAGTGTAGGCCGGCGTGTTATAGCTTCCTAGCGATCCTAGGTGGTACTCTGTAGAGTTGTCGCTTCTTGCAACGCGCATGCCCAACCAATCCTTTTATAGTTTCTTGGGGATTATCAAACGAGAAAACTATAGTATTAACTATGATTTCTACACATTTTTTTCTGGTAAAGCTTTTCCAGCGAAATAATCGATCCCCCAGGTAGCTTCGAAAACAACCATATTTTTAAAAACCTGTTCCCTCAGAAACCTGAAAAATTATCTTAATATCCTTCTAAAACTGTTGAGAACAAAATAACTATGAAATTTGGGTTCAATCTCCATAAGACCATCCCGCCTTTTCTGCCTAAATAGAACAGACACATCTATTGCACTTGGTTTAGCTATAAGGGAAAAAATACTATAACTTATTGATCCTATCCATGTTGGATTGGTTATAATACCTCTAATCTTGTTGCGCGTGTGCATATACCTGATTGACGGCCCGTAATTATAAACAGAGATTTGGCCCTCCTTGCGGTATCGAACCATTTTTTCAGAATCTTCTAAATCAGTTTCTTCCGCCTGCCTGGCACTTTCCTGCTTCTGACGAGCCTCATCGACTAATGCCTCTTGGAGATGAGCTGTCTTTTCGCTCACAACTATCTCATCGAGTAGCTGTAATAATTACGAAAATCGATAAAGGCGGCGTTATAAAAGATCTGAGTTTAATAACACATGATGTATATGAATGATGGCGGACTCGGAATCAATCACTGTTTGGGCTTGAAATAAAGTTATATCTGAGACCTGACTAAGTTCTGGCTTCACGAAGCCAGTTTTATTCAAGATATAGGCCAATAGATCATAGGCAAAAAATAACAAATTTAATGTGTTCATGGTATTTTCCCATTATTGATATTAACATGTCTGATATATTGTCACCATTAAAAACTTTTCTTTCGTATTGAAGTAGGTCACTCTTAAAAGATGATGATATATTCCACTATATAAAAATTTAATAGTTTATTTTCCCATAATAAGTGTGATTGACGATCCTATGATGTGCGCCATCATCATTTTTAAGAAAGTGGACTATTTAACAAAAGGATAATTTTTTTATGGCATGAAGTCACTCTGTTTCTTGTCTTAACTGATCTGTGCCTTCCAGCATTCTTGGGAAATTTCTAGAAAAAAATTGGAATGCTTTTTTAAAAAAACTTGTTCGCAATGCATTCTAAAAGGACTGATATATACGGTTCAGAAGAGACTTAATCTACAATGAAAACAAAAGTAGAAACGAAACAAAGAAGTAGAAAAGTTCACAGATATTTATATTCAAATCATATTAGGATTACCAGGATGTGTTTATTATTTTAATATGATGGCATCATAATGCTGCTTGTTTGCAATTGCTAAATCTACTGCAAATGGACCATAAGTAGAACATGCTGTATGCTTGAAAAGCCAAGCGTTCTAAGCTAAAGATCACTAGGTGTGAACTAACCCAAATAAGGTGTACCGCAGTATTTGCTATAATGGGCGGAAATGTTACCTGCTATTGCTGCTGATTGTATATAAAACATTTTAACGACACAAACGCAAGCATAGCTAAATAATGGCAACAGCTCAGGAAAAAGTCAGGGAAATTCGCACTATTTATATTTGTCAAAATCTCGACCAAGCTTACTGAAAAGTAATGGAGTTGACAAGAAGAATGTATAGGGTGGCGGAGGAAATTCGAAATGCTTAAAATTTGCGATACCTTGAAGCATCGCTTCAAACGGCTGCCTCCTAGATGGAAATGAAGTGTTTCTATGTCCAATTCACAGGTACTTGAGTTGTAAGCAAGTGTGCTTTCAGTGCTAGGACGAGAAAGAGAACTGTAGCGGCTGTACCTAAGCGAGTTTCTCATGTCCACGTTTAAACGGCGCGTTTAAATAAAACTTTTATTTAAACGGCGCAGACCACGACAACTTGAAGGGAAGTGATGAGTTAGTTCGTAAAAGTATTTCAAAATGCAGGTTAAACTAGATGTTAGCCCTAGACAGCCTAATATCTGGATTTTTCTTCTTTACGTCGGCGTGTATCCGTTACATCGATTACGGAAGGCGTTTATTGATTTTATTGTTTAATTGAAACCCATTTTTTGCTCGTAGACTACAGATGGCGATTCAATAGCATAACAAGCGTTTACGGATGATTAATTTTTTCTTTCGATAACTAGCAAATTCATCCGTATTTAGAATATCCAGCTTATAGAAATGGCTTTTAGACCACGTTTTTTCATGGGTTGAGCTCCCGCACGGACATCGGTCGAATGCCGTGACTAGAATGAAGAAAAATTACGTTCTCTATTCAGTACGAAATTGGAAGTGCTGTTTATGTTTAGTCAAAATAAAACAAACATTGTGAAACCAAGATTATAGAGTAGATAAAAGCTTGGTATTAGGGGTTTCATAGTATATTGCCAGCTTGAGGTTTAAGTCACTCGTAACTGAAACCTCCTTTTTAATGTAAACTATACTTATTCAATAACCGTAAATTGCTTGAGTAACTAAGCCAAAACCTGAGTGTTGTAACTTATATTTTTAAAATTTTCTTTTTAACGCTTTTCTTCTATTAAAAATAATTAATCGTTCATGTATGGAACTGAACAGTCATCACACCGCCCTGATCGGATCTAAAAGAGCAATAAAACTCTTCAATGAATTTAATAGTCATTAATCCAATAGCTAAAACCATATTTGAGCCTTTTTTTTTGTGGTATATACGGTCTCTGAGCTCGGCTAATGATCCATGGTTCATAAGGTAACGCATTAGATTTGTTATCTATAATTTATTTTCATTTTCCGGATGTATCAATAATAACTAGCTTTCGACAGCATCGGAGTAACAAGTTATAATATAGTAGTGTGTTTATTGGCAATACAATAGTTAAACGGATTATCTATGGTTGCCGCCTACCTGCCTTATCTCGAAGTTCAAAGAGACTGAAATGATCAAGCTTCTATATGATGCACGAATATGATAACGTGTTAAAGCTGTTATCCAGTTTCAATTACTTGACTCTGGAATTACATAGCCGTTTTATATGTTGTGGAGTGCTGTTAACAAAAACATATAAAATTGGATGTCCTAGGAGTATTCAAGTTTCAGGCGAACAGCTTACTTCGAGTGCTCATTGTATATTTTGTTCGATAATATTAGGTCATTCTCTAGTCTATGAAAAGTCTATGAAATCTCGAAAAACAATTTCTACATCATGCTGAAATATGAATAATTTTCTTATTAAGAAATTGTCTAAATTTTGGGAAGGATTGTAATTTGTGGGAGGACATAATAATTAATAGAGCGCCTCCAGTCGCTGCCACCGCGGTTGTGGTGTAAGATCAAGCACTGTTGTGTAATAAGAATGGGTTTTCTTTGTCCATTAAACTTGGCTGTTAATCAAAACTCGCGAAGCTGTAGAAAAGAACACCTGCATCAGGTCATCAAACAGACACCATAAGGATACATCTGTTTTAAAGTGGAGTCCCGCCGCTTCAGTTGCATCCACTTACTGATGTGACCGTTTGCAATTGCCGTAGAGTATCCATTTTTTTATCATAACTGCAAAAAAATCAATACAGTGGGTTGTTGAACAGCGTGAGAACAAGGAGACGAAGCGTCTATGTGCCTGTTTCTTCGTTCAAAACGTGCGGCATCCACGTATCCAATAGCTACTTCTACATACACCAAACCGAAGAGGTAACACTCGTGCATTTTGAAATGAGTCGGCTTCGACCACAACTTCAAACTTTCGTTATTTACCCTCAGAGGGGTCTTCCACGGGATTCATCTTTAGGTTCAAATTTCCAGATCGCGGTGTTTCTAGTGGTAGAATTTTCACCGAATATAACATACATGCGGCGAACTGTTCCCGCCGCTGCAGTTCCGTGACGGAACTTATATTCGCTAAAATCCCAATTGATGATATTCAAATGAACGGTCTCAGATTTTAAAGGGTAAAAGAGCGGTTTTCAAACGCATTTCGAACACATAAAAAAGTCTTATGAAATGTCGCATCATTATGAAACAGCATTGTCTTGAATTATGAGATTAAGGTTTGTCATGTTAGTATGCATATATGAAAAGTAAGAATTGTTTTTCATGTAACAAGACACGCAGCGCTTTACTCGAATTCTAGCAACAAATTTACCTATCATATACTCGTTCATGTACCTATTAACCAATTAATTAATTTCGTTTCGCCACATATATTTAGCTTTGGTGCTTAAAAATTCATCCAGCCAATATTTGCGTCCTACGGTTCGGCACTATCGTCGAGAAGGATGAGTTTGATTCGCCTATCGGGTTTTTTTTTGTTACACAGCCCGTTCAATAAATGCCAACTAAACCACATATAAGTCTTTCCTGATCGCCTTATTACCTTTAACATTTCCCAGCCTATTATGCTTTTCCATCAAACGCAAATCATGATCTTTTTTGGATGGTGATCTGGCTTAACTCTGGCTTTAAATATATCTTCTGGAACTGCCCACTCCTCTCGCTGCTTTATATCGACGTGAAATCTTACTTTTCGCGACCCGTTGCAATTCTATGCAAAAACTCTACGCTTGCGTATCAACCGGTGCCGGCTGAAACGTTAAGGGTCAATGAAGAGTGGTGTTTTCTTATGCGCTTCACCTAGGCTACCGCGCTTCTGAACTTCTAAAACAATTTCATACATTTAAAATAACTTATAGTAGGCTCAGGCTCGCAACAAATTTTCTCGGCTAGCTGCTGTACGTTTGCCATTCAAAACCCTCATCGACTTTGATGTCCAACCGAAGTGAGGTACATCCTCCAGATTAAAGATCCCGTATTTAGACAAAGCAAACCCTCTCGAAAGATCCTCTCAGTCATGGAGTCGTTCCTGTACGCGGCACACGTATTACGGAATGTTTCCGCTGCTTTTCAACCTCCGTAGATAGCAAAATAAAGTAAATATCAAAATGCACTTTTTTTTTCATGGAGCCTGTCTCTGAAGTTTGAACTAGTTGAAACTCCTCTGACTGTGTAATAAAAGCACGAATGACTTGTAAGGAAGAGACCAGTCTCAAACGGAATATAGAGGAAAACACACAGCAGAAAGATAAACGGGAGAGGAAAGATTAGAAAAAAGCCCTTCCTTATCTCCTAATTTTTAATTCAAAGTTTCGGCCTTCACGTCCGGTACTGCCGTCAAACACTGCTTCAGACGTTTGTCTCGCAGCACGAAACGAAATATGGCTAAGCCCGAGTTAGAATCTAGAGGATTCTGAAACGAGGTATTTAAATTCGGATAAAGTTTGTCGGACTGTTTGCTGCGGTAAACATTTGTTCATCCACCATATTTAGCACTAGAAGAAACCCATCCCTTCCTAAAATAAAACAATGAACCTATCGAGGAAACCAGTGTATGGTTTTTGCAGTTTAAGCGAAAATCAACTGTAATGCAGTATATTCACAACACAACGGGACAAACCCCCGTTAAAATTAAAAGATTCCTTTTTGTTCGAAATTGACTGTTAATATTCTCGCTAGTTTTTATGCTTCTTCTGAAAAAGATAACAAAGATTTTCGTGAGGCAAACTGGAAGTCCCTCAATACAGTTTGGATTTAAAGGGCTTAAAAATGTATCAGAAAGGCTCAAA